TCTTTTAAAAAAATAAAAAGTAAAAAAAAAAAAAAAAAGCGTTGGCAGTCGACCATGGTTCATCTCAAATCTGGCAGCTTGCTTTCTCACTTTCTGTCTCTCTCTGGTCCCATTAATAATAATAATGAATAAAAGTAAACAAAATCATTCTCCAAAAGAGAAAAAGAGTTGGCACTTCCTCTGGATGGTAACCATTGAGTTGAGATTTTTATTTTTTGATGTCAGGGAAGGTTTTTTTCTTTTCTTTTCTTTTTTTCCCCATCATCGTGAACGTGTGTGATTTTCAGTTAAAATCATTCCTTTTCCCAAGTTGTCCGAAGTTATTGGAGAATACTTGATGCTTTCCTGCCCTGCCACCGCCACAGGGCAGTCTTTGGGAGGTGTTTTGTTTTGTTTTGTTTTGAAATAGAAAGCGAGAAATCACCCCCCAGGGGGGATAGCCACGCCGCAATCCCTTCTCCTCCATTCTCCTCTCGGGATCTTGGGCACGCACGCACACGCACCTGGCATGACTTTCAAGCCACCAGGTCCAGGACTTGAACCATAGTTGACCACGTGGAAGTCCAGTGCTTGGACGTCCACACCACCTGTTGGCCCCCTATCATCTTCCTTTTATTTTATTTTACTTTTTAGAGAGATTTTTATTATAGGGTGTATGTGCTTGCCAGAGACAAGACAGAAAGCGAGAAATCACCCCCTGGGGGGGATGGCCACGCTGCAATCCCTTCTCCTCCATTCTGTTCTCGGGATCTTGGGCAGGCACGCATGCACACGCACCCAGCGTGAGTTTAAGCCACTGGGTCCGAGACTCAAACTATGGTCAACTACCTGAGAGTCCAGCGACATAGCCATTATGCTAACTGCTGGTCCCTTGTTAACCCCTCTTATACCCTTTTTAACTCTTTAAAAAATTTTTCCTATACCGCACATATGCTCACCAGGAAGAGTCAGAGACAGAGCAGAAAGGAGAAGTCATCCCCCCCCAGGGGGGTTAGCCAAGCTGCAATCCGTTCTCCTCCATTCTCCTCGCGGGGTCTTGGGCCCGCACGCATACACGCCCGACGTGAGTTTAAGCCACCACATCAAGAACTCAAATCACAGTCAACTACATGGGAGTCCACCCACATAGCCATTTTGTCATCTGCTGGTCTCCAAAGCTTTTTTTTTTTTTTTTTTTGAGAGAGAGAGAGACCTCTGCTATAGGGAGTTGCACTTGCTGGAGAGGCAGAAACAGAGAGGCAGAAAGCAAGAAACTGCCCTCTCCCGGGGGGGATTGCCACGCCACAGTCCCTTCTCCTCCATTCTCTCTTGGGATCCTGGGCATGCACGCACACATGCCCAACGTGAGTTTGAAGTCACTGGGTCCAAGACTTGAACCACAGTCGACTACGTGGGAATCCAGTGACGTCACCATTACACCATCTGCTGGTCCCTGCTCTTAAGCTCTTGCAGTGAAAAACTAGAAGTATGACTGGTCTTCAGAAGGTTTCTGATGCCAGCAGGTGGGTGGAGGTTAAGGTTCTGGAGCCCACATGGCTAACTGAGCAGTTCGAGTCCCGGACCCAGGAGCTTGAAGATCACATCGGGCATGTGTGTGTGTGCATGCCCAAAATCCTGAGAGGATAGAGGAGAAGGCATTGCGGTGTGGCCATCCTTCCTGGGGGCTGACTTCTCGCTCTCCCTTCCTCCCTCTCTCTGGTGAACATACGCATCCTAGACACCACGAAAACCCAAACAAACACACTAAACAAAACAGAAAAGGTTTCTGAAAAATTCCTATTACGAAAAAAACGAGTGCAGCTTGGTAGCCTAGTATTTTTTTTTCTAATTATTTTATTTAACTTCATTTATTTATTTAAATTTGAGCAGAGAGGGACAGAGTGAGAGAGAGAGAGAGAGGGCAAGAGAGAAAGAAAGCTGCCAGGTCTGGGACTCGAACCACAGTAAGCCATGTGGGAGTCCAGCACCCTTAACCACCATGCCCCCTGCCAGCTCCCATGGTAGCCTAGTGTTTAAGGGAGCCAGATCCCATATGTCCAACAGTGGTTCAAGTCCTGCCCTGGTAGGTTGAAAAACATGGTAAGCTCACGTATGTGCCTTGCTTGTAATCCTGGCAGGATGGAGATCGTGAAGGGACGCAGAAATGGAGGGGAAGGGATTGCGGTGTGACCACACCACACTCCAGCAAGGAGTGTTTCCTCCCTTCCCCCTCTCTTTCTCTGTCTCTGGCAAGTGCATGTACCCTCAAGCAATTAGTAAAAAGAAAAACAAACTATGCATGTATTTCCTTTTTTTTTTTTTTTTTTTTTTGCACCAAAATAAACTCGTGCTTTAATCTCATTTTTCCAAGAACTTCTTTAGGTCTCCTCGTCCATACTCAGTAAGCAGGAGTTTGTGGCGATTAGTGTACATTTCAGCTCAATAGTCCAGGATCTTGGGGCCCGCAATTGGCGTAATGACTATGTCACTGGTCTCCCATGTAGTCGACCACAGTTTGAGTCCCGGACCCGGTAGCTGAAAACTCACGCCGAGTGCGTGTGCGTGCGTGCCCAAGATCCTGAGAGGAGACTAGAG